TGGAACTCTTTGATGGTCACGCCTTTACATGCGGATTGGGGAGTTTCCGATAAGGATCCTACTATTTAAGGTATGTACTGGCGTTCCATATTTTCGGAAACTCCCATGGTTGGGTTCGGTTTAAGGGTACCGGAAGGATGCGGTGAGGGATCTCATCGGGCTACGATATCGGTTTAGGGTTTAGGGCTTCGGGTTTACGGCTTGGGGGATTACTATACCCCCTTAGAACCATATTACAAATAATGCTGTTTCAGATTCACTTGGGTTTTACATGAACAAAAATAAACATCATTCCTATCAGGAGACTATAGACTAGACTCTCGGACCCAAACCATAACTATGATAAGGAACCCACAAAAATAGTTTCGGTAATAATTTCAAGGCCCTTTTTTGCAAAGTATACACAAGTCCCTAAACCCCTAAACCCCTAAGCCCTAAACCCCGAAACCCTAACCCCGAAGCCCTAAAGCCTGAACCAGGACTCTGCAGGCGGGCCTGAGAAACAACTTAGAGTTCTTCTCGACGCGAGTGGCCCGGGAATTCTTATAGGATTTGGGAGTTTGCGAAAATAGGGGGGACCCTTTAAGGGCTCCTTCAAGGGATCTACAAGGGTCCTATCAAGGGTATAGGGTTTAGGTCAGGTTTTGGAGTTTGCGAAAACAGGGGGGCCCTAATATAGAAATCGTAGGATCCTTATTGTAAGGACCCCCCAAAGAAGATACCCCTCATGTTCGGAAACTCCCATTATATAGGTGGGCGATGGTTTAGGAGATTCAGTTGGAGAGTACGGTTACAAGGTCTTGGGGTTTAGGGTCTATAGAGATACCCGGAACGACAGCTGCACAAGCTCGATGCAAGGATCGCCGTTGCATGCAAAGGACTCGAGCACGGTAAGCAAATAAGGCTGCAGCCGACCAACATCTGACTTGTTGCTCCAAACGCTACATTGGCGTATGCCCTTAATGGTATTTCTTCGCTGGGTTCCCTGGGTTTTCTTGCTAGGGCCGAGAAACAATCTACACTTGAGGGTCTGCGCACGATTTTGTTTCAGCACTGTCGTCACCTCAAGTCACCCTGATGCTGGGCACCAGGCGGTCGACGCCAGATTGGAACAACTCATGCACACGGCTTGGGCTTGGGGCTTTCAGGCTTTAGCCTCAAGATAATTGCCTCAGCTCCACAACCATGTACAGAAAAACTCTGCCCAAACCGTAGGTACGAAAGCAGCCCAGGACACATACCGGAACAACGAACTCAATCCAACCCCGCCTCCATCCGAATTCGCATCCAGATGTTGAAAAAGTCGGCGCACGGCACGGAAATATTTCCTTAGGTTTGCAAAAACAGCCCAATATAATTGGTGGGCAGCATTTGGCTGGAAAGCCTTCTCTCACAATGCGAGAAGTGCACAGAAACAAGACTGAAGCTACCCTGAGCAAGTTGCTTGTGCACATTATGGAACCGGCACACCCTCAGTCTAAGTCAAAGCTGACATCCGCCAACCCTACTAAACCCCTAAACCCCCAAATAGAAACCGGAACCCTATACCCCTAAACTCCCAAATAGAATCCTAAACCCTAAGCCCCTAAACCCCCAAATAGAATCCTAAACCCTACACCGCAAGCCCCTAAACTCCCAAATAGAATCCTAAACCCTAAACCCTACACCCTAAACTCCCGAATAGAATCCTAAACCCTAAACCCGACTGGCCGGGTGACGCTTTCTCCTGGGCAACATTTTGCAGGATCATCTCATGGTCTGCTTCCTTGGATGGTCTAGGCTTCAAGGGGTTACCAAAGGAATACTATAAGGTTTCTTTAACTTTAAGGGTTGCCATACGGATTTCTGTAAGGTTTCTATAAGGGTTATTTTTTGTCCCTACCAATGTATATATATATATATACATACATACATTTATATATTTAGAATGCTAGAAGGTAATCCCAAAATGGAACTACAATGGGGACTATAGGTAGGCTTCAAGGGCGTCAAACGAACGCAAGTGAAACACTAACACACGAACAAAAATCTCCAGTTGCTTGCCGAGGCGCAGCAGACTCAATGGCTGACTGGCAGAATACGCCTGACATGTTGCTGGAGCCAGCCCACTAACTTAATTCTTGTGTCAACAAACCACCACGAAGGACATACACGACTGTGAGCTTCTACCGCAAAGAATGGTAATCAAACTAGGACCAAAGCTGGAACTCAACTCAGCTTGAACAAGCAAGCGTACATAACCAGGAAGAGCAACCTAGGCAACCAAACTGAGACTCGAATCTACCTCGCCGCAGAAAGGGCTTGCTGCTGCGGCAATACGCACTCAACCGCAGCCAAGATGCCCGTCATGACCTCAGTCCGCAAACTCTCAGAAGTTGCGGGTTTAGGGCCCGTTTTGCCGCTCACACTCGGACGAATCCCAGGCAACGTCTGCAGACAAACATGCGAAATAAAGCATATGGCTGAAAGGTACTTTTAGGGTTTCGGGTTTAGGGGCCCATTTACATAGATGGTGGCGTACTACCAGAACAGTATCCGAATGCCAGCAACTCACCATACGGGCAGCTGGGCGTTCTCGAGGCAATACCCAGACGAAGCAAAATTACAGATTCAGTGCTAGCCGAAGACTCCACCAGCAGCTCACAACTTGAGGGTTCTACGGACATCCCAAGTGGCCGACAACTTGGCCTTATGAAGGGCTACTGAATAAGTAAACATTTGAGGGTCTTAGCTGTCTTAGCATCTTCTGTATGGGTACATGGGCTCTTCAAGTCATTCACCCGTTCAAGTCAGACACCCAAGCACATCCTGATTCCACCAGCACAAAAACGTGGTCAGTTCGCATGCCGTTGCATCTTCGCCAGAACAAAAGGATGCTGCCGAGATGCATTAAGAACAGCGAACATACAGAAAGCAATGTAGCCCTGACGAAAATGCAGGTTGCGGACACAGTCAGGGACGCATGACTCTCTGCCCACGAAGGCATTGATAGTAGAAGCAGATTCCATCGCAGAAGCATTCAATGCTCGCTCAAACCAGGAAAGAGCACAATCGCAACAGTCCACAGTAACATGCATCCTAACAACTTGAGACATTTGAAACCGGCCCGCGGCAGCGCATGTCATACAGAACAAAGATGACTCATTCTTGCTAAATGTTTTAAAGCTTGTTACTACTAGAACATAACCCCTCATGAGTCCCGAACAAACAAAGCCAGCAGCATATAGTAAACTCCATAAACATGCTTTAAAAGCCTATATGGGTTCACATTCTCATCCATATACATATAATATACAGAATTCATATATAACACAAGCATATACACGTGTATAAACTCATCCTCGCCCCCAAGACCTGCCGTGGGTAACTTTTCTTGCCAATCTGGCCTGATCTGAAATAATCCTCTGCCCCGAGACCTCCTATGCATGTGGTCAGGTTTCCATGACCGCGGTCCTGTTTCTATGTGCTCGACATATAGGCCTTCTAAATCGCGGCGCACAGTGACAGGCTTCACCGCTAACAGAAAAAAACTCTCTGCAGGTAGGTTTTTCGACACTGCTGAGTGGTAACTCTTTTCAATCGTATCACGTAGCCACATAGCTGCACGCAGAAGCCTGCTAGCTCCTACGGCCTGATATGTACTTACTTGGATAAAGCTCCCAGACCAATAAACCAATAAGCCCATGTGGCTGTACCGAATGACAGCCCTACATCGTGCTGCTGATCTAAGTCAATGGCCCGCAATTAATAGTACTTCTTGCCCACTTCCCATAATACCACTACTGCCTAGCCATTGCGGGCCCGGTGCCAACACAGAACCTGCTGATTGCGCCGCTGCTCGTTGTATTCTGGCTGTATGTTATTCGTTCCTAGTTACTCCGCCTGCTGCTGGGATGACGACGACGGCTACTATTACCGAAAGTACGAAGTACTGACTGTTAGGCGGACGACTCCGGACGACTGGTGCAGTCAGTGAGCACCTACTAGTGCTGCGTTTTAGCGTCAACCGCGAGCCAAGCCGGCATATCCCTGGCAGAGAATGTTTAAGATCAGGCGCGGTGCATAGACCAAAAAAAAGATTCGAAGAGGGATGGTTTCCGCTGAGTCGCAATGAAGGATAGGATATATGGCGGGGAATCCAAACATTCAATCTCACACATGAACCAGATCACCAAACCAGCAGCATTGTTTTGGAACTATTACGCTCCTCATCTGAAAACAGATTCACCTGAACGAATATGGTGACAATCGATTCCGACTGAAACGCTTTCCCTCTGCTACTATCAATTCTACTGTGTTGGAATGTTCAATAGTGTGTTCTAAAGTTCTTCCGTTTGCAATTTGTGGTTTCCGCAGGAAGGGCTACTGCAGCCTGCAGTGCCCTTGCAGCCTCTGGCGTTCTACGTTCCTCGCACGTTCTGCGACCTAGAACAGGAAATGAGAACAGTAGAACCCGCAACATCCAGATGGTGTTTGTTGTGGTATACATCGAAAATCCCCAAAACATGGTTTCTTTTAGAATGCAAAAACACGAACAAACAAAACACGTAGGAACGCCATAAAACCCAAGGTACCAGGGTCCTTGTTTGTTTGTGCTCTGTTGTCGTCCGGTCTCTATAAATGCTTCTTGCTCTTGGTTCTGGACACAATAAGATCAAAGCGGACATGAGCGTGGACCACTCTGTTGATGTGGTCTCTTTGACGGTTTCTTGCTGTTGACTATAAGATAACGGCGGACATAGTATGCACGACTTGAGTGATGTTCGCGCTGAGCGCACGTGCAGCAGGGGCATAACGAGACATGATTTGAAGTCATCAACGAAGATTGCGGACGCAAAATGCGATTTCCTCCCAAGAGACGTTGATTTGTTTACGGCATCTACTGCGAAACGGAGACCGAGGCATGTCACAGAGAGGGTCCACATACATCTATACATAGTTGTATACGTATTTATGCATATGATCATTTACATATTTCCTTTTTATACATGTTGGGGTCTTTACCAGTCGGATAAGGTCGCCTCGAAGAGGAATCCCCATAGCTCGTTGATCACGGCCAAGCTGTCCCGAGTTTCGATCCAAGTTAAGCCTTGGATCCGCGAGTAATATAGCGGCCTTAGTTAACTTAGTGTAACAAGTCTTGCGGTGAGTTATACTAAGTATTTCCGCCCCTATAAGGTAACATAAGGGGCCTCCATAGTTGGCCAGTCTCCGAACGGACCAGAGGTTCAGGTTTTACCAAAGAAGCAGGCCAAAGTGGACAAAGCCTCGGCCCTATATACTGAAGCGGTCAAAAGACTTGGTAGATTTAGCAGTGTCTCGTTGCACAACGGGAGTTTCCGAAAGTAGGGGACCCTCATATAGTACCCTAAAAAAGTAGGATCCTTACTATTAGGACCGGACCGCAAAATAAGGTTGTCACAAGATAAACCTTACGGAACCTGTAAACACATCGACTCGAGACCCATAGCGGGTAATCGCACTAGTCGCGGTTGGCGGTCCTGACCCAAGGGAAGCCCAAACCTGCTTTGTTGAGGATTCTTTCAGTTTCAGAAAATGGGGTCCTCTGATAAGGGATCCGTGTATAAGGACCCTAACATTCTGCAGGGTCTAGAATTAAAAGGCAACTTCAATTTTCTGCAAATCCAGTACTGAGACTAAAGTGTGATAATACATTGCAGCACCGCAAAGCAAGAGATCTGGGCTCAATGGCCGACTCTCACAGAAAGGCCCAGGTACCGCCAGTGGTGCAAGCAAAAAGAGTGTGCCTTGCTCGGTTGAGGTTGAGTTTAGGGTTTAGGCAAGTTTGCGTCAAACAAATGTGACTTAACAGGGTGTTCAGCCTCTAGGGTGTTGTGCTTGAACTCCAAGCCCCCCAATCAAACAAACACCGGAACAACAACCTCAGCCTTAAAACTCAAAGCCCAAAAGCTTGCCAAAATGCCCTAATCCCTAACCCACTTAAACCCTAGATCTCAAATCCCAAACCGTTGCAAACAGCCGAAAAAACGCCTCGCGGGCTTATCCCACTGAAGGCAGTCGTTGGCTCATGACAGAACTGCCCAGGTTCTCACTGCAGGGCATCATCCCTAATTAAGGGTCCAAGTACCCATAGTCATATACTCTCCCAAATATCAACCTAAATAACTACCATCCGTAACCAAAGTACGTTATAATTGGGTCCTTTGGACCCTTTGGGTATAGGGTCTTAACAAAGCTTCCCGAAATTTCGGTATATGGTCATAAATTATAATAGTAAATGTTTCAACTGTCACAAGGGCTTTGCAAGGGTCTTGTTGGTGGCTTGTTTTGTTACTAATTTACTTCGAGTTTAGCTGTTGTGGTGTACTGGGGCTACTTACGGATCTAGAGAATTTGGGCCGTCTAGGGCGTAGGTTTAAGATCCAGGGTTTGATGGTTGATTGGTGCTTTGGCCTTCATCTAAGGGTTTCGTCGAAGATCGTCATCCGGTTGATGCTATAAATCCTGCCTTACCTAAGGACCCTAAACAATTGGAATTTTGGTATATTCCTGTGGGTAATGCAAGGTTTATGTCATCAACCTTTTGGTTCGGGTTTTGGTGTTTGAGCTCAAGGAAGGGGTTTACTATGGGGGGCCTTGATTATAAAGGGTTTGGGGTTTGGCTGATACTTAAAATGAGGCCTCGGTACATTATACTAATATTACATTATCTTACTGACTATAAGGACCATCATGCGGGGGTGTCCCCTTTTGACACTGGGCTTGCTGGCTGCCAGAATATATGACCCTCCGACGTGTTGCCAAGACACCCCAGACCCTTTACCGTCTTTGCTAAGGGGTGTAGAGTGTAGATGTGAGGATTCAGGATTCATACAGTTGATGAGATAAATCCTGCATTACCCACAAAAGGAATATATGTATATATATATATATATATATATGGTCACCCCCCCCCAAGATCTACACCCGCCTCTTCCACACGATCCCACAGGTTGCTTCTCTACATTGGTTGACTACTCATATATACCGAAAACACCGTAAATACCGGTACAATCGTGCTTTACCTCATGTGCATGCAAACCGTGCTGCTGCAAGGCGCGGGTTTGATATGTGTAAAAATCTGGCGCCGAATCTCGGCCGCGGATTTATGGTAGTTCATGTGTTGGAGAAGCTGAAATGCTGGAGGGGGTGCTAGTTTTGTTCATGTAATACTAAAAAACCTCGTGTTTATTGAATTCTGGTGTGTTATTTAACAACATTCCTGTCATAATACAAATACTATTGTCTCTCTTACGAAGACGTCTGTGTGCGTGGGCCATTTCTTTCCCGCTGCCCGTGAAGCGTCCGATTCTGATGCGGCCTAATAGCTCTAGCACTTGATTTCTGAGTTAGAAACACAAAGAGCTCCTTTCATATCCTTGTCCAGTATACATGAAGGAAGTCGAATATACGGGCGCGTTTATTTTTGAAGCAATACTCCAATAGTTGTTCTTTGCCTCATAAAAAATATGGGAAAGCTCCCCTGGAGTTGAAAAGTTCAGGTGCATATGCGGGCGCACAAGAAGGCTCGTCTGCAGCAAAAAGTAAGAGAGCTCTTGCAACCTTCCAAGCATGAAGCAGGACTGTTCATACTTATCAAACAAGAGTAATGAAAACCGTTGCTGTTCCAGAAGGCACATAAAACAGTACTTCCAGTCCTTGACAACGGTTGCAAGCACCCAATTATCTTGTGATGCAGTATATCCTGTCCTGGACATCAGAAAACACTGTAATGCTCAAAAAATTCCAAAATTTCCAACCTTGAAACTCACAAAACACTGTAATGCTCAAAAATTACAAAAATTCCAAAATTCTGGCATCTATGGCCAGGCCGGGGGCAGATTCCTTAAAAGTTTGGAATTTTTTGAGCATAGCAGTGTTTCGTGAGCTTTGAAGCAATGAAAAGTGGATGTTTTTTGAGCATTACAATGTTTTGTGAGTTTTAAACCACGAAACACTGCTATGCTCAAAAAAATGAGCTTTGAGGCTGTGAAAAATTGATTTTTTTTGAGCATTACAGTGCTTTGTGCGTTTTAGACGACGAAACACTGCTATGCTCAAAAAAAGTGAGCCTTGAGTCTGTCAAAAGCTGACTTTTTTTGAGCATTACAGTGTTTTATGAGTTTTAAACCACGAGACACTGCTATGCTCAAAAAATTACAAAATTTCTAACCCTGAAACTCACGAAACACTGTAATGCTCAAAAAATTCCAAAAATTCTGGCATCTATGGCCAGGCCGGGGGCAGATTCCTTAAAAGTTAGGATTTTTTTGAGCATAGCAGTGTTTCGTGCGTTTCAAGGCTCGGATAAATTGATTTTTTTTGAGCATTACAGTGTTTCGTGGTTTACGACTCACAAAACACTGTAATGCTCAAAAAAAATCAACTTTTCACAGCCTCAAAGCTCATTTTTGAGAATAGCAGTGTTTCGTGGTTTAAAACTCAAAAAACACTGTAATGCTCAAAAAAATCAATTTTCATTGCTTCAAAGCTCACGAAACACTGCCATGCTCAAAAAATTCCAAACTTTTAAGGAATCTGCCCCCGTCCTGGCCATGGCCATAGATGCCAGAATTTTGGAATTTTTGGAATTTAACAGTGTTTCGTGAGTTTCAGGGTTAAAAATATTGAATTTTTTTGAGCATAGCAGTGTTTCGTGGTTTAAACTCACAAAACACTGTAATGCTCAAAAAAATCAACTTTTCATTGCCTCAAAGCTCACGAAACACTGCTATGCTCAAAAAATTCCAAACTTTTAAGGAATCTGCCCCCGTCCTGGCCATAGATGCCAGAATTTTGGATTTTTTTTATTTTTTTGAGCATTACAGTGTTTCGTGAGTTTCAGGGTTAGAAATTTTGGAATTTTTTGAGCATAGCAGTGTTTCGTGCCCCCCATGCCCCAAGAACCACGAAAGCGTAGATCTTGCGGGGGGGGGTGAGCATATATATATATATATATATGAGCCCGGAACCTTTGGGGTGTATTTAACCACCTGCTTTTCTTTTCCGTATGAAATTGTATTCTTTTTTCTGTATACATTTATGTACACAAATTCCTTTGGCTATACATATGTTTTCATTCCAGAACCAACTCTTAGTCTTAGACTCAGCGTTGTAAATAAATGCTGTTAGGCTTGATTCTGTTTGGTCTTCGTCTACGCATGTTGTCTCTGTGGTTTGCACTTCAGGTCTGCTGGCTTGCTCATTCACATTCAACACATCGGTACATGTACATCACATGCGCATATGTATACAAACATACATACATAAACAAGTGCACATACACACACATACACACATACATACATACATAGAGAGACATACACACACACATACATACATACATACATACATACATACATGAACCCACTCGTCAGTCGTTATTGGCTATCCGCATATCCGCATGAAGGTATGCACATACTCTATGTCATCTATGTACTTACATCTCCATATCCGTAGGTCGTATCTAACAACGGACTTTTCAGGAGCTCATGGATCGACTGTTTATGATCCGTTCTCAGTCACGATGGTCTACCAGGGCATGAACTTGGTCCTTGGTCGGAGAATCGGGGTGGCAAAGCGGTGTTTTCTTGAACCCTTTGAAGCATTCTTCATGATCGTGGGATCGGAAGGTGCAAAGTTCAAACATAAAGCCCACCGCACCGAACAACTACAGACTTGATCGACAAAGGTGATGATCATTGTGGTCTTGCTGCTATGGACATCAACCAAGCATGGTACAAAGGTAGGAAAGGGTTTGGTAAAGGCTATGTGCACCACAAAGGTAAAGGTAAAGGAAAAGGCAAGAAAGGTGGAAAGGACTTCGGAAATGACGGTAAAGGCAAAGGTTTTGGAGGTTTTGGCAAAGGTAGAGGTCGAGGCAACTGGAAAGGTCGAGGTCGAGGTTTCAGAGGCTGCAAAGGTAAAGGAAAAGGTAGAGGAAGAGGATTCTTCAGGTCTAAAGGAAAAGGTGAACGAAAAGCACAAGCAGCTACGGGAGTTTGTCACTACTGTCACAAGTACGGACACTTTGAAGCACAGTGTAGGCAGAAACAACCTGACATGGGATACCAAGCTAGGAATGGAATGTAGACCTGGAAAGCCAAAGCGAACAAGCTAGTACTACTGCAGCCTCTACTCAGGCCCCTTCTTCAGCGAACAAGACCTCAACAAGCCAAAGCCAAGCAAGCCAAGGAACCCAAAGACCAGTGATTAGGATGGTCTCCATGTACCACATGGGAGATCAGCCCACAAGCTTTCCGGAGGAATTCGAGTTGAGTGAGAATTCAAAGGAAATTGAGATTGAGTACTTCGGAAGAGTCTTGCGGGCTGTTGGAGAAGAAGTTCAGGAAGAGAGCAGTGAGACAGAAGAGTTTGGGATTGGTGATGAAGATGATGAGTTTCAGGACTGTGATGAGGTGAGTGATGATGCATGGTTGCAGTGGCACTTAGAAGGAACCCCAATAGGAACTCAAGATCGTGGATACCACTACGAGTGCCCTAACGGTTGTCACGAGACACCCTGGCATCCGAACATGCAGGGATGTGAATTTGGATGTCACCATCCTCCCACAAGGAACCGAGTTGAAAGAACAGTACCTCCAAGAACGAGCACCAGCTTTGTGCGCGCGGCAAGAAGATCAAGAGCTCGTGCGATCCAAGTCGTGCTGGATTCAGGAGCCGACATTTCGTTGGCACCGATGTGGATGAAGAAGAAGTACGGAAGGAAAGCACCCAACACTACTAA